GGAACACAGTGCAAAGTTGGAGGTTTCCTTCAGGGGCAGGAAGTCATGTGAGTTTCGTGAAGCAGTCATCTGGCGCCTTTTCTCTCTCTCTCTCTCTCTCTCATTGTCGCTTCGATCTTCTGTTTATATGGACCTTCATTTAAAACTGGCAGGGAGTCTGACATGGTTTGAGATTTCTGTGATCTCCCCCCTTTTCCACACAGAGTTCTGGGAAATTTACCGCATACCAAATTTTGGAGAGATTCCACCTCCGATGATTAGGGGAAGCAGAATATCGATTCACCCTAACTCCCTCCTTCTTGTATTGATTTCTTCATACCAATACTGCCCAAAGGGTGTTGACAATTCCTCCACCTCCGTTGGTGTCCGAGTGACCATAGAAGTGAATTCTATGGTCACCTGACCAATCCAATCTCTAGACTGCATGGGCAAGTAGGCATGGCTTAGCTCCAATTATTAATTTTAATTAACGTCCAAAATTTTCATCAATGGAATTTCTTGACCCCTTCCACCTTCCCAATTGAACACTCAGCAGATGTTCCTCTGACAACCTCTTCTTGCGATACCTCAGCCTTTATGTAAAGAAATTTCATTTCAGTGATTCACACCTTCCCTTTCCTTTATTTCTTTTGACAAGTAATTAAAAAAACAATTCTCCAACATTGCCTTTGTTTCCAAGAAATCCTAAATATCACCTTTTGATCGACTTTCCTTACTGGGTTTTGGCTGGCAGATAATTCTGTAACCTGGATTTTAAACACAGTAGTGTCTCTATTTCATAGTTGTCAACTTCGGCCATATGGTTTTTTCGCAGGGAAAATCAGATATCTCTGTTCTTCCCCTCTGCCTTTATCCAAGGAAGAAAAAAAAAAAACACTTTGAATTTACTAAAATCTGGTCTCGACTCTCGGTATGTCTATCAATCTATTTTCCAACCCTAAAAATGTCACATTAGACATACTTTAAATCTAGCCAATAGTCTAACAGTGAAATTATCAAAGAGGGCAATGAAAAAATCCAAGAAGAGTTGAGGAAAAAGAGGGCTGTAGAAGCGAGTAATAATTTGTTTTTTTAATCTAATTGATTTACACTTAAAGAATACATATGCTTTGCAAAGAATAAAAATTAGTACAATAATTATGGATGAATGCAGGGGGTTGGTTTATTTTGTTAAAAGTTTGAATGTTTGTATCTTTTGTCATTATCCGAACACGATACCCCACACACCTGTCAAATCAGACAGCTACCAGATGTAAGGGGCCAATACTCTAGGTCTGTAGGGAATCATAAATCTGGTGACATCTAATAGCATGCAAGAAAAATTATTAGATTTAGTTGTTGTTTTGAATTTGCTGTATACTTAATACCAAGAAAGTAATATCTGCGTATGGGTGTGGGATTAGGCCACTAGGGATATGGCCCGGGAGCTAGAAAATGTTTGGGAGTTAAGGTACTTTTTAAAATATCTACACCCAAAAAAATTTTTAGATGAGATTTAAATGAAATTACATTTTTATTTATGTTTACTTTTATTGGATGAAGGGATTTTAGTTCAGAATTAGAGAAATCTACTTTCATACTTTTTTGTGTGTGTGTGAGAGAGAGAGAGAGAGAGAGAGAGATTTATATTTACAACATTCTAAAAATTAATTCAATTATTAAAACTAATGTAATATTTATCATTTATTTATAAAGAAAAAAGTATGAAAACAATTTTTTATTCATAAATTTATGAACATTTACTAAATTATTAAAATATGTGAACCAACTATAAGGAAATCTTTATTATTTACCATTTTATAAAGTTTGAATCAATTAGACATTAGCCGATGTTTTGTCAAACATTCCAATAAACAATCTAATAAATACTGTTGTAAATTCTCAAGAACAAAGAAAATGTATGAATTCACTTTCATGTGTTTAGGTTTTATTACAATTGTAATCATCACTTTATAAAAGAATAAACATTTCTGAGGAGTGAAGGTAGTTAAAATAATAGTGGTGTCAAAGGAAAAACCTTCCTTTTAACATTGTTGTTGTAGACATTTAGGTTCAAGTTTGCCAATCATTGTATAAAAAATCCTGTTTCAGAATAATCATCAAATTTAATAATTTCCTTCTCCCTTATAAAAAATTGGTTAATATTTGAATTTGAATGCTGATTATTAAGGTAAGCAAAGGTTCCAAGTGAGGAATTCAAAAATTCACCAAACTAATCTTAATGTAAGTGTTTTTTATAATCTTCCAGTCATATATAAATTTGAATAAATATCAGAATTTTGGTGAGAAATCTTCTTAATTAGGCCCAAATCTTTTCAACACTCACTTATATAAAAATTAATGTCATTTTCATCATAGTTGTAGTAAATGGATGGGGTTACTTACTGGGAACACTGATTAACAAATTCAATTCACACTAGGTTTTCATACTAATTATAGCCTTGTGACAGATTTAGGTACATTTATATATTGGTGGTAGATATACCATTTATCTGCATGGAAACTGGAGTAAAGGAGTGGAGTTCAAATTCCTGTTGTATTTACTTTCCCACAAATGGCCTTGGAAAAAGTATGGATTCCTCTCTTTTCCCATATATCTACGGATTAAATAGTAGAGTAAACTGGACTCTCTAACTTTGGAGGGCCACCAGTCTAAGAAGGAAAACTCTGAATTTAAACCTGTGGAGAAAGCAAAGGGAAACCACTCTATGTTTTCCCCCAAAACGCATGACAATTTACAGATAATAAAGAAAAATTAATCTACATGTTTGCAGATGTCCTGAAGAGGGGCATGGTGTTAAAAATAAAAAAGGATTTGCCATTATAATGTTCTTTTAAGATTATCAATTATTTTCTGTATGCAAATATTTTCTGCTGCTTTTGGGTAGCAGAGTATGGGGTAATGGTTAATGAGCCTTGTCTAGTTGATCATTTTGGATCTTTTCTGTTAATCCCCCCAACCAAATAATTCACTCCAAAATAAAAAGAATTTATATTTACTAAAACTCATTAAAATTCAGAAATATCCTTTAAAATTTGTTTACAAATTCATTGTTATTTTTTGTCTTCAAAGGAACTCACACAAATAAGATGAGTCTTTCATGCTGTGATAAGTCCCGAACATGGATTTAATTCTTCATTTTGGTCTTTCACCAGGTACTTTTTATTGTTTGCACGTGAGCTGATGTTTCTGAATCAATGAAATTCATACCATGATTTACAGTCAAATGAATATAATTGGGATCATCCTTCAAAGATGTATATCCTTTCCAACAATCTGGCATAATTGTAATCCCAGGTAAAATGCAGCTTTAGATTGTGTCCAATAATGTGGAGGATGTTCTACCTGGAACACAGTACATGAAACATTCTTTTGTTTCATGACATATGCCACCAAATTTCTATTAGTTTGGCAGTTGACATCCAACATGGTTCTTTTGAATGGAGAAACAGCTTTCATTTATCTTCACAATAGTTCTGGAGCCTCCAAGTAGTGATGATGACTTTAATGATCTCTCCCAGTATATACTTCCCTGAAGTAATTCACCCAATACTCTATGGTGCAATAATTCATCTTAAGTTCTTCTTCATAAAAGTTTATAGTGGCTATATTCTTTGATCAGAAATAAATGAATAATGTTTTATGGTAGGGAAGACATGACCCTTGGAGTCAATTTCCTTTCCTTAGCAGCTTCTCTACATGGTATTCACCGAGTTGGCAGTGCTATCCATCCTGTCAATCTGTTAAGCTCAAATTCATGCCCTTTAGAGTACACAGCACTCATAAATCATACTAGTTATTTCACCGAGGTAAGCTCATATTATATTTAATATTTTAAATTATATATATATATATATATATATATATATATATATATATATATATATATATATAGCCTGTTCTCTTTGAGTTTATGTATCTTTTCATCAAATTCATTGTAAACTGAATGACTGAATTTCCTTTAAATTTGTTTTTCTAAAAGTAGTAATAATGGTATATTCATCCAATATCAATCCAAATAGATAATACAAATAGATTCATGCAATTCCAATATGTGTGAATCATAAGAAATATGCATATAAATTGTTGTTACTAAATAAATGAACCTAATGAACAGTTTACCTTTGATTTATTACACGTAGATACAATGGATTGGAATGCAAAATATGGTTCTTACTGTGGGTTGCAGCAAAAAAATTTTGAAAAATGCTGCTTTAGAGCATTTTATTGACATAGGAAGAATTTATAATTTCAAAAAAGTGCCAAAAATTCAATGAGAAACAAACTTTGATTTAAAGTTTATAATTTCTTGGGATGAATTAATATATGCAATAAGTAATTTATTACATTATTTGGGGTGAATTAACAGAAAAGATGCCTCACTTCTACTGAATAGTGAGTTTGATCTTCACACTTGTCACTTTCTACCAAATTAAGCTAAACTTACTAAAAAGTTGATCTGCCTAAGAAATTGTGACATAAATCCCTGCATCATGCAGAAGTAAAACAGTTTAATTCCTGAGCCACACAATCATGAAGGCATGAAACTACAAGAATGAATAAAAGTCTTAATATTTATAATTTTATAAATTTAAAAGTGTAATTTATTTTTGCAGTCTCCTTATGCAGACAAGTAGGTTCTTTACAAGATGGAAACCTAACTTTCTTGTTTTGGAGTCAGGAGGTGTTCTTTTTCTAGAGTAACTGCTAACCAAGGTTATAGAGCCCAGTGTGCCTTGCTATTTTATAGCTGGGAGATGGGGAGAAAAGTTGAATACCTGCCTTTCACAAATGTATTAGTGGGACTTGGATACAAATGGGATTTTGAATTCAGCTTGCCATTTCCATTGTTTGTATTATTAACTGCTAGGCTACCAACACTGCCATACAAAAAGAAAGTAAATTGGAGAACAATGAAAATAGCCTTGTGCCAGACTAGATTCTTCTTAGATTTGGAATCAAAAACAGAAATTTCTTGTAATTTCTATAAATGATACACTTGAAACACTGGTTCTCATTTGATCACTGAAGTTAAAAAACGTTGAGCCTAGTCACTACCTAAATGGGTGACTACTTGGGAATACCAGCTGCTGTAGGCTTGGATGTGCAGATGGTGTAATGGACAATGGTTCAGAATTGTTAATCAGAGAGCCATGTTCCAATTCTAGTTGGGTTTGTTATATTCACTTATGCCCAAATACCCTTGGGAAAGGCATGAATCCACCTCTTCTCACCCCAGTTAATTAGTAAGATTTGTATCACTAAAAACATTATTATCTCCAAAAATAAAGAAATAAATAAAATTGTGTACAAAATATTTATATTTTGTCATAACCTATAAAGATGAAGATATGCTGCTAAACAAAAAACAATGATTCAAGTTTAATTGACACAGGGAATTTTTTTAATTGTGGCCTTTTACCAGTTTTGACATTTGATTTGTTGCATGTTTATTTTCTAAGTGTTGCTTAATCTGGCACAAGGTCTCATTAGTTGAGCACTCAAAACTAGCAAAGTGCTCCAGATTTATTAACCATTAATCTCATTCAATGAAATACAACAAGCAATATAAAAAAAAATACTGATTAAAATAAATACTTCTCTGTGCAACACCCGCTTCAACACTGGCTTTCCACAACTCCTTATCCCTTGTGGATGTTAGTAGTGTTTCTCCCTTTGCCAAGTCTAAGTTCCACCATCCATTCACACAAGCTTGTCAGGTAAGTGACACATTGCTTTCCCTCATCTTTCTTGTCTTCAGTATGCCTTGTGAGTGTTAAGTTTTCCAATCTCACCTTCCTCATTAGGTATCCAAGAAATTTATTTTATCTCTTCCTCCTCTTAAGCATTTTTTGTTACCATTTTCTTTAAATGGTTGTCCAGCATTCACAGCCATATAAGAAGATGGATATCACATAGCAATTCAATACTATGATCAATATTAATAAGATTTCTGATGATTGAATTGAATGGTTAACAAGCTAAACTGGCAACCTCTTGCTAGTGAAGTGAATCCTGGGTCCTTCCTAGGTTCCCACACTTGTGGCCTTGTGCCAGACTAATCTGTTTTGATAAAAGAAGGAGATTAACAACAATTATCAAAATGAAAAATACTTAGATGCCTAATAAAAGAGGCTAGGATCAGAATTTTTTTTCAATATGCAATAAAACATGCAAGTGAAAATTTGGCTCAATAATTACTGTTTCCTGTTTAAGCTCTGGGGGGTAAAAATAAGCTTAACAGGGTTGAGAAATTCCCACAAAAATAAAAAAGATAATAAATGTAGTCCCTTTTCTATTAGGCATTTAAGAAAAGAGACAATTATGGTTTTCATCTTATGGATCCCAACTGGATAATGTAAAGCTCTTTGTGGATCATGGGAACTAGACTGATTTAACATACAATTCAATACAATATAAGGAGAAGAAATTTAACAATTCCCAGGTACCTGGAGAAAGAGAGGTTATAACACTGATGTGTACAAAAAAATCTATACACTTACACAGAGGTTTATATTTAAACTTTGAGTTGAACCAGTTCTGCATTAAGAAAGGTTTGGTTTGTGGCCTTCAGCATACAGCAGAGGTTGTCTGCATCAATGAAAAATAAAACAATCAAGGGAGATCAGCAGGATCATTAAATGTCACAGATCACATTTAACATCATCCTGGACTTGTGAGAACAATAGTTTCAGATTACTGGTTAGTTTTGAGGGGGGGGATGATGCTGGGGCAATACAAAATGTTTAATTATAATTCTGTTATATTTATTTTAGAAGCAATTAATTTCTTTAAAAAAAACATTCTAACTTTTCACCAATAGTTGTAGAATTTTAATTAATGGAACACACAAAAATTCAAACAAAAAATTAATAAATGAAACCTGTTTGTACTTATGAAATGAGGTATTGTAATTATTTAGATTGTTCTAGTTCCACATGCCATGCCACTTCCAGATATCTCAGTATCAGTTATCTCTCTTTAACTCAACTCTCCAAGTTTTTGTCCACCTCTGCTGTAGCCAGGTATTGAACTCGTAACTCTTTGGGTCAAGTCACTGGGACAAAAACTTGGAGTGTTGAGTTAAAGGGAAATAACCGATTCTGAGATATCCTGAAGAGGCATGGAATGTGGAATTAGAACAATCTACCCTGATGGCAAAAATAAAGGGTTCAGTTCGAAATTCCAATCACATGAAGGTTGGAATGTACAACAGTCAAGATGTTGTGAATATGGTAACAAAGATAACAGTCCAAACATTGTAAATAGCATAAATAAATGAAACCTAAATGAAAAATAAAGGACTAACTTTAATTTATTTGTATCATTTATCTGAAAATGTTAAAAACATTTGTATCTAATTATGAAAAATAATTTTGCTTCAATAAATAAAGAAAGAAAATTATATTTTTTCTGTTTTTCTATTATTTAATAATTACCTTTTATTTATAGTTTTTGTGTTAAGTGTGTTTTTAAGTTGTGTTTTTCATGACATCGCTAAAAACAGGAGCATAGCATGATGAAAAAGACGCCAAACTTGACGAAAACAAAATTTTAGCGTCTAAATGTTTGTTATTATTAAGAGGAAAGAACAAAGTATTTTTTTTAATTACTTTTTAAAAATTTTCCCCTCTTTTTAGAACATTCTAAATTTTGATTGAAAAACCTTGTTTCTCTTCGTGTCCAGCAGAACTACTAAGTAACATATAAATTTTAACACATTTTTTTTTTGTATGGCAGACATTAATTTTGAAAATCTTGCAAAAATAAAAATAATTGTTGGATTTTAATGAAACTTTCAGAAACTATTCACAAATGATAGAACTTATTATAAATATGCTTCCCTTTTTTAAAGTCATGGCAAAAATATTTTTTTCATATGTATCCCCCCCATAACTAATTGTACAAAAACTCTATAATTTCAATTTTGGGAAGATTAGTAATTATATTAGTTAAAAGTACAAGGCTTTTGGGAAACCAAATCATGTTTTTTTTTTTTTAGTTGGCCCACCTCTATCTGAAAATCATCTCTGAATTGTAACATACAAAACTCAATAAAACAAAAATATTATTTAATTTCAAAAGCTTTTAATTGCTTTTATTTATTTTAATGAGCATGGACAATATTGTTTGAAAGCAAAAAGATATTTCAATGAAAAATGAATTTTTAAAACAATTATTTGTTATTTCTGAAATATTTTATTTTTACATTAAATGTTGTTAATTCTTCTAAAATTAGGGAAAAGTTTGTAATATTTAACGAATATTAAGTAGATATATATTTACAGATTATAATTTCCAAAGCTTCTTACAAACTAATGAACACCAGTATATAAAAAAAATATAATTTGTGTCAATGATACGACTGCAAATCAAATCTACGGAAGACCAGAAATATCATGCATGCAATAAAAAAAAAAAGTTACGTGGATTGAGTTTCTGTCTAGTATTTAACTAGAATACTGAATTTTTAATACAATTATTTGTTATTTCTTTAATTATAATAGATTTTTACATTTAAGTTGTTAAAATATTATAAAATTAGTTAAAAGCTGCATCCAGTTTCGTAAATGTGCTTTTGAGTAAAACACGTGTGGAGAAGTTAATTTTTCAATTTAACTGAAAAGGGTACCTACAAGTATCAGTATCATCTTATGAAATTTAAATTTGTATTTTATGTACACTTCTGATAAAATTTAATAAAAAAGGTACTTATAAATTAATTAGATACCTTTCTTATGAAATTTCATCTCTCTCAACTGTCTTTTTTTTATAACATATTTTCCATAAAGCATAGTAAACATAAAGGTGAAAGCTAAATAAAAAAAAAAATTAGAACGCTGAAATTTTTCCTTAAAAATAATGAGGTAAATAATTTGTTCACTTAAATCTAAATAATTTCACTTCACTCCTTCCATAGAAATGTTGTCCTCACGTAAGCTATCTATATGTCAAGTGACACGAAATGTTATGACCTGCTTTGTTTTATTTTCAAACTACATCTTTTTGGCACAGAAACTAAGTAATGCTTGTCTCAAAATATTTTAAATAAACATTATAATTTCTGATTTTCTTAAAATAAGTTCTGAAAAAATTATAATTGATTTTTAAAAGATTTTCAAACTGAGATTTTCATTTTTTTTATAAAATAGAAAAAAATGGTTGACATGATTATCTGTCAATTGTACTGACTAAAAAAAAAACAAGATTTTTAATGAAAATTTTGGACATGCTAGGAACAATTAAAAAATGTGAAAAAAAAATGCCCCAAAAATACTTTGATCTTTCCTCTTAATAACATAAACATTTAGACGCTAAACTTTTATTTTCAAGTTTGGTGTCTTTTTCATCATGCTATGCTCTTTTTTAGCAATCTCATGAAGGATCCTATGTTAAGGGCTTTAATGTAAAGGGAGGTAAATCAACATAATTTAAGAAATTTATGAGTGGTTATTTCCTTTAGTCATTTTAATAATTTATACCAGTGATTCTCAACCACCATGCCATGTCACCGTTAAATGTGCTGCAAAATATTGTCATGGCATACATATATATGTGTGTGGAAATAGTAATGATAGAGCATCAGTATTTGAATAAATGAATATGTATTAAAATGTTTTTTTAAATAAACTGCACAAATAGTTAAATAGAAACTAAGCAGCCAGTGCTATTTTCAGCTGAAATTTATAAAATCCTTTAAAACATTTTTCATGAAATAGGATTCAAGTCTATTAATCATTATTGCTCTTTCATAACGTTTTCTTCCTAACTTTTTGTTTGAAGTCATGAAGGCTAAATACATCAAATCGGTGGAAGCTCTCTCCTGTGACTTAAAACCTGATAAACCATTTTGATTGGTGGTCAAACTAGGTGAAGGTAGCCAACAAATCCAAACCCATAATAATTTAAAATCTGTCAACCCTTTTGCATGTAAAGACCAATTCCCCCCAAGGAGTGGGTGGATGTGATCTCATACAGATCCAACGACCATGAAGATGATATCAGTAAGTACTGTGGTGTGCATTATAGCATAGCTGTGACATGTAGAAGTCTTGGTTACCCACTTCAGCTTGGAAGTCTCTGGTTGTAATGATTTC